TGTGGCAATTGGACAATTAAAACAGACATTTGGATGGCGGGGAAGAAGAACAAACTGGGGAGGAGGGTGAAGAGAATGGTGCGGCAATGAAGGAGTGAAAGCCCAGAATCCCTGTGAGTGTTCATTGAAACTAATAAAATGTAATAATAATTAAAAAAAAAATCTGTACTCTGGGGCCAGAGTCATCAGAATCCAAGAGAAAAAGGGGTGTGGAAGGGGGAAGAGGAAGTCATTAGGACAGCAGAGATTAGTGGGGTGAGATGGGAATGAAGAAATAGGATAGTGCAAGGAGACTTGTGGAGACAGGGAGATAAAAGTAACAGATGCATAGTAATTAAGTGTGTAAGACGTAACATACAGAAACGATTGTGCTGAACAACATATACAGGAACAAAGCCCTGTATATGAATAATTGTATTATTATTATAAATGATGATATTTGTTGCAGACTGAGAGTCCCAAAGAATAGAATAATTTTATAATTATTAATAAAGAGACAAACAGCCAGGAATGTGATAGAGCAGAGAGCATAAAACAGGGGGCCAGCAGTTCTGACTGAAGACCTCAAGCCAAGCTTCTCTGTGTCTTTACTGAAAAGTATCTGGCAGGAAATCGCAAAGAGAATTCAATGCAAATGAAGCCAAGCTCTTTCCATTGAAAACCTTCTGCTTGACTCAGGAGGGAGGGGTTCACAAATGCAAGAATTTGGTTTACCCTGAACTATTAACCTTGATGCCTCAGGGTGAACTCTAGCTCAGGAAGCAACACTCCCTCTGTAGGGGGGCCTTTGCTGTCTCCTGTCTTGCAGGAAACAAACAGCTCATTTTCTAGGATTTGCCACAAGAGAAATCCTAACTTATACATCTGTAATTCCTTCAATTCCTGAACAAGGGTTTTCATATAATATTTGGTATGAAGTTTGGCTTCCCATAGATATTAATAATAACTTTTTTTTTAAAAAAAAATCATGATTGAATGACATCTTGCCTCTGTGACCTTGGACAAGCTCTTCAGTTTTATTCTGTCTCATCTTCCAAGGGAATAAAACCAGCTGCTGCAGAGCCAACTGTAACTCACAGAGACTCCATGTTTATCAGAGTAGAACTGAGCTCCACAGTGTTTTCCAGGACTGATTTTTGGAAGGAGATCACCGGTACTTTCTTGAGAGGAACCTCTGGCTAAACTTTACATGTTTCTCTTAGTACATAGGGATCGCCCATTTAACCCAAAATCCTTTATTTTTTTTACCTCAAATGTTAATATTCATTTGCTGTCAAGGACTAAGTGGATGCTAATCAAAAGGAGGGATCACTTGAAATAGAACTTCAAATTCATATGGAAGCCAGACATACAGGATCCATTGACACTGACAAAGTCCCCAAAGCTAATACTCAGAATTGTATTTAAACTTAATGCTAAAATGATTCTCTGGTGGTATCAGTTAACTAAACAGCTTAGCCCAATTGAGAAAGAATATTTGCCTGAAGCAGGGGTGGCATCCACTTCCTAAATAACATGTCTCCGGAAACTCTATGAACTTTGATAAATGTCATTGGTTGTTGAGGGGCTTCAAGCCTTTCATTCATAGGGTCGCTATGACTCGTGCTTGACTCGAAGGTAATCAACAACAACAATAGTGCACATATAAATAATCACCTGCAAGAATGCAGAGTTAGAACAATTGCTATAAAGTGCAGACGGGAATGCCAGTGGGAGGAAGCCTAAATGAATGAGCCAAAATGACTCCTAGGTGAGCTACCACTGGGTTTCCACGCTATAACCCCCAAGGGAGGAGACGGCTCCTCTTTCTCCCTTGGAGTCACTGCTGGATACAAACCGCCTGAGAGGCACAGTCATAGGAGCAGAGCACAGCTCACTGCAGACTTTGCTACCAGATGGGATGGGGGTGCAATGTGAATTGTGCAACCAATACTATTGAGCTATTCAAGGAGATATTAAGAATAAATGTGTGATGCACAGCCATGTTTTTCACGGCTTTGTTCGCAACAGCAAAGAGATGGAAACAACCCAAGCACCCATCCACAAACGAATGGATAGAGAAGCTGTGGTATAGTCACACAATGGAATACTACGCTGCACTGAAAAACAAGGAACTCATGAATTATTATACAAAACGGGTGACCCTGGAGGACATTTTGCTGAGTGAAATATCTCAGTCACAAAAAGATAAATACTGCACAATACCATTGTTGTAAAACAGGACTGACATCGGGGTTGGGGGGAGACTGAGAAAGAGGGGACTAATTATGTAAACCACATTAAAACAGATGAGGGAGAGAACTGTTTAAAAGGGATATATGATTGTGTATTCTTGTCATGACAGGAGTCCAGAGTGAAGGCTGCACAGTGGAGTGAACTTGCGGGGAGGGATTGTATAAAAATGAAAGAGTTTTACTTTTCAAAGAGAAGAGTGAATTGGGGAGGGGTGCAGGGCGAAAAGTGCAACAATGAATGAATGGAAATCCGAAATGTCCGTAAACTTTCATTAAAAATAACAAACAAAAAAAGAATAGATGTGTGTTTATATGTATAGTCACACACAAAAAAATATCCTTCCTATCTGGTGATTCCTCAGTGATCAAGTAACCGGATCCAAAAGAATTCTCCAAGAAGGTGGCACGTATTTGAGGACTAACCCACGAGCTGCTCACGCAAAACTGAACAGCTCTGGGGTGAAACTACGGTCATGGCAAGAATAAAAGCTGCTTGCACTTGAACTCCACATTTGTCTTAAAACTTTAAAAAAAAAAACCCAACAAAAAACCAAATCAACCACAACCCTCAAACTCATTGTCACAGAGTTCTAACAGACTCATAGTTGACCTTCCCGTGGGATCCAAGGTCGTGAGTCACCTGGCAGGAGATTGTGCATCCTCTTCCCATGGTGGCCCTGGGGGGTCGAAGCCACCGAGGAGGCTGCCTGCTGGCCCACCTGCAGTTCCTATAGACTAGGTCACCAGGATTGTCCATCCTCTTCCCATGGTGCCCCTGGAGGGTCGAAGCCACCGGGAAAGCTGCTGGCTGGTTCAGCTGCATGTCCTACGGACTAGGTCACCAGAGCTCCCTATCAAGTGGGTAACATTTCCCCTTCACTAGGAAAATCAGCCTTTAAACCCTAAATCACAACGACCTGTTACACACCAGTAGGAGGGAGGTTGGCCCGCAGTCCAAGACCGGGAGGTGAAGACAATGATGAAAGGCACTCACCTTGAGAAAATTCTGGAGTCATCTGGAAAGTCATTTTCTATACAGATTGACAGTTTCTGCAAGTTTCGGCAATGTTTTATGCAATAGGAGTTTGTTATCAACTGCCTTGTGTCGGAAATATAAGCTAAAATAGTATCAAATAAACCCATTATTTCTGCGACAAATTCTTCTTCTTGCGTTTCAAATAGACCATCGAATAATTGGTAAAAATCCAACGCTATGTCGGAGGGTTTGCACGGAATTAAACTTTGTATGCATTGGCTTATCTCCTTCTTGAGCTTTTGTGACGTTTGGAAGCCGAAAGACGACCTCCACATCTCGGTTATTTTTTCTGTTGTTAGTCCGAACAGAAATAGGTCCATGTGGGACATGAATATTTTCAGTTGGCAGAGACCTTCTCCGAGGAGCTGGCTGATGCTGCCTATGGCTGGGTTCACACGGTCCTGGGGTTGTTCCAACAAATAAAACAGGCTCGTGCAGAACTCCTGGACTTGCTTGTGGGGAAACACAAAGCAGTCGCCATTCCTTCGGAGGAGGTCCACGCCCTGCCACATGGACGTGTCCAAATCAGACAGCCCGTTTCTCTTGAGATCCCCTCGGCAAAATTTATACTTCTGCGTCCAGATGCCCTCTGCAGCCAAGGAGCACAGGCCTTGGAGTCGGGCTTTGTTCTGCCTGTGCGACAATCTCTGGCCCCCAGCTTTCATCACGCTGATCAGGTAGGATGCGTACAGGTAGGTAATGTTCCCACAGACAATATCCAGACACTCTCCCCTGTCCAGTTGCCATTTCAGACAAGAACAGATCAAATAGCACACCAGGGGGTTTTGGCAAACAGAAAGCAGGAACGGCTTGTCTCTCACGTACCTAAAGGCTTTGCTGGCTAGCCATTTCTCTTGGAAAAACTGGAAGAAGTAGGCTTTCTTGCGAATCTCAGAAAAGCCTTGCATATCTATGTATTTTGGGTGCCACAGAATGAAAGGTCGGTTTTGCATGACTTTAGTCCCTAGAGCAACGAGGAGTGAGGCTTCTGGAAGCATTTTTTTCTGCAGCAAGCTGTTCAGAATGACCTCTGTGGGCTGCTGCCGGCGCCAGTCATTGTTTGTGTTAGTATCAATCGTCCAGTGGCATTTCAACTTCTCGAAGCCATCAATGACCAGTAGAATGTCCTGGGGCTGAGATAAAACATCTCCCACTGGCTTGGAGCACGCGGGCCAGTCTCTGGAGATGGCCTCCGCTAAGCTTGTCTCTGTCACACGGCTCATGTCACATGCATCCAGAAAGATGACAAATTTGAATCTGTCCTTCCACAAGTTTCCCTCTGCCCATTCCAATATTGCTTTTCTCAAAAGGGTGGTTTTCCCCATTCCGTCAAAACCGCGCAGAACCACTGTATTTGAACCTTGATTTGTCTCTTCAGAAGTAAATGCATTGCTTAAAATGTCGTGCTGCATTTTGATAGTTTCTTTGTAAAAACACTCAGAGACTGGAAGACAAGTTTCTTTTTCCCATATAAGATGAAACTTTTCCTTCATATGCATTTTGTATAGAATGATCTGATCTAAATCAATGAGGAAAGAATATAAACATTTAAAATAATGGAGGCATTCTTTTATGCCTCTCAATCCTACCATTAGGAATTTACTTGAACACAGGTACAAAAGCTATTATATGGTCATTAAAAAAAACTCAGGCAAATCAATTTCTTATCATTACGCAGGAGGCACAACCTTGTACACAAAAAGTAAGAAGTCTCGAAGTCTTACTGAAGATCAAAGCCTAAACCTTTACCATGGCTTATATCTCAACACCAAGAAAAGAAAGCCTCATCACTGAACAACAGGCAACATCATGACAGACAGAGAAAAGATGGACATTAACAATTTCATTTTCCTTGGATCCACAGTCAACATCCTATGGTGGCAGCAGCTAAGAAATGAAAATGCTTGTTTCGTTGGGGACATCTGTCCTCAGGGACCTCTTTAAAGTGCTAAGGAACAAAGACATCAACTCAAAGACTACGGTGTATCTGCAGCCAGCCATGGTATTTTTCCACTGTTTTCTACATGTTAGAAAGTTGGACAATGAATAAGGAAGACTATAAGTGGATGCATTTGGAGTGTGGTGTTGGGGAAGAATGCTGGACAGACATACGGCGGACAGCCGTAAGAACAACAACAACCAGTGCAACCTGAATCTCCCTGGAAGCCAAGGATGTTCAAATGCCATCTTACAGCCGTCAGGACCTCCCTTAGATGGATCGACACAGGGCCTGCAGTCATACCCTTGACAATGACAGGGATTGTGGTGCTTCGCAGGACAGGGTTGCTACATAGCAGAGTTGATACGACTGACAAGGACGGTTGCATGACAACGGTGATCTGCACCCAAGAAGATTTTCACAAAGAAGACCCTTTGGAGCAATTCTGCTCTGGCATGTAGGTTAAAATGGAATTAATACTCTGCCTGGTTCTTTGCGCATGTCATAAAAAAAGGGGGGGGGCAACTATAGTGACGGATCTTAATTCTAGAAGAACGTGTTATGTAAGCACTACGTCTTTTTTAAATGATTATTATTACTGTGACTATTGTAGTATTTCTTTTCCCCTGAAGACAATATTTGCATCAGATGTCAGGAGTACCAGTACCACCAGGAAGTGTTGATGGAAACGTGTCCTGAAGCGTAGTGACCTTCAATGACCCTGGGGGTGGCCATGTAAGTATCAAGCAGAAAAGTGGAAGAGAGAGCTAATGTGAGCACAGGGATACAGAGTCCGATTCAGTTCACCTGAAAAGATGTCTTTTCCTTTGTCTCTGGGACAATCCAATTACATCTGCACGTTATCATTTTGTCTTCCTAGAAATTCCTCTGCACTTGTTGTTTGTAGGTGGCACTGAGTTGACTACCACTCACAGTGATCTTATGAACGACCGAGCTGAATCTTGCCCTGTCCTGTTCCATCCGTCCTTAAGCACTAACTCTCAAGCCAACTCTCATGACTAACAGCGGCTCAGAATAATGGGGAGACATTACGTAGAGGACCAGTTTGAGCAGGACACTACAACTGCCAGGTCTGTAGCTAGTCCGTGCATGACCATCAACGACCTACAACTGTCCTACTGCCTCAAAGACTCACACATTCACTGGCCCCAAACGCACATTCAGCTGAGAGCCACAGGGTCACTCTTAAAAGATGACATCGTCTTTATTTTCTGACGCTCCCACAAAACCAACATTCGTGTGCGGGCGGCTCCCTACCTGTAACCCCACTCTCACTGCCCAACTCCTCTTGAGCTTTCTCCCAGAGGTCTTGGCGGTCAATCTGCAGTAAAACACTCAGCATCATCTCCCACGCCTGTTTCTCCGTGCACTGCTTGTCCAGCACGTTGGCTATGCTGGCTCTGGAAGCCTTTTTGAAAACAGCCTTGGGAATTGGCTTGAGTTGACGTTTCTGAAGTTCTTGCTTTAGAAGTTGCTTGAACTTCCAGAACTCTTCCTTTTTGAGTTCTTCCAGGTACAACAATATGCCAAAGTTAGGAAAACAGGATCCTGCCATCTTGTTCCAAGATTGTGTGTTCTGACCTCCAGAGGGGAGTGAGGAGGGGAAAAAAAAAATCTTCAGAAAGGAGTGAATGTGACCTGGGGAACAAAGGAAAGATGGCAGAGTTAAATTTCAGCAGTGGAAAGTGCTTAGAGTGACTCAGCCAAGTGCCAGATAGGAGACGAAGTTTGGTCAGTTCTCAGCTTTCCAGGATAACACATATTGTGGTTGTCGTTAGATGTCTTTCGGTTGAGTATGACTCATTGTGACCCTATGAACAACAGGCCTGGACCCTGGCCTCTCCTGGGCTATCCTCACCATCTCAGACACACTCAAGCCCGTTGCTGTAGCCAAAGCATCAATGTGTCTCATCTTTTTCTCTCTTGCTCTAGTCCTCCACTTCTCCAGCATGATGCTTTCCCCCCAAGGACTAGCTCCTCTTGAGAACATCCAAAATACAGGAGATGGAGTTTCACCACCCCCGCCTCTAAGCAGCACCCTTGCTGTCCTTTATCCAAGACTTGAAAACACATAGAAAAAAGGGAACTAGATATTAATTCTATTCTAGCAGATAACCTAAGGTGCGTCTGATACAGGCCATGGTCTTC